TGCTGGGTCTGAGAGGGTACTGCGCCGGCGACGAACAGAGACTGATAGTATACGATTACATGCCAAATCTCAGCCTCCTCTCTCACCTCCACGGCCAGTTCGCCTCTGAAGTCCACCTCGACTGGAAACGAAGAATGAACATCGCCATCGGCTCTGCTCAAGGCCTACTGTAAGTACCCCATAAATATATATATATATATATACACACACATATACACCCACCCACACATTCATATATATACTGAGACACGCATGTACATGCACTGTTAAGAACAGGGAGCGAACAAATCGATCCAAGAAAAACTGGGTAAGGATAGTGGGAGGATATCATCTCTGAAATCAAAACTTTAAAATTCACGTTGGCCCTGTCATTTTATTATATATTTACTATTAAGTTCAATTTTATCTTACATGGCAGTTCTCACATTATTAACTTAATTCTACACTTATTTAGACAACCTAACAATCTTTATCTCAATGTGAATGATTCATATATAGGCTCATCATGTCGAATGATATCACAAACACTGAAGTTGATCCCTACTGTATTCAATTTGGACCAGCCCAATATTTAGGTTACAAACTGTATCACATCCAAGTCCAAACCGCTGCCACATGGAGATAGATCCATATGGGTTTCAAACGTGGGTGCATGATAACGGGTTTTCAACATCCTCGTTTCTTTTTATGCAAGTCCCTAACAAAACCTAGCTCCAATATCTCTGGTTAGGGACATAGAGAGAATGCGCGTTTACTTCTCATTCTTAAGAAAATATGAAGTTTAACTTTATTTGACATAGAACTTCTCATCTGACTATACATTCACATAATTGCACAACCTAACATATACTATTTGTCCTTGCCAGGTATTTGCATCACGAGGTGACGCCTCATATCATTCACAGAGACATAAAGGCAAGCAATGTTCTGTTAAACTCAGACTTCGAGCCGCTGGTTGCTGATTTTGGGTTTGCGAAGCTAATCCCAGAAGGAGTAAGCCACCTGACGACCCGTGTGAAGGGAACTTTAGGGTACTTGGCTCCTGAGTATGCCATGTGGGGCAAGGTCTCTGAAAGCTGCGACGTTTACAGCTTCGGGATTCTTCTGTTAGAGCTCGTGACTGGAAGGAAGCCCATCGAGAAGCTTCCAGGAGGGCTCAAGAGAACCATCACAGAGTGGGCTGAGCCATTCTTAAGCAAAGGCAAGTTCAGGGACATGGTGGATCGAAGACTTAGAGGGAACTTCGACGAGAGACAAGTTGAGCAGATGATCAATGTGGCTGCTCTTTGTGTACAGAGCGAGCCTGAGAAGCGACCAAACATGAAGCAAGTTGTTAACCTGTTGAAAGGGTACGAGGCAGATCATGGGAGGGTGACGAAGACGAGGATTGACAGTATCAAGTACAATGAGCAGCTCATGGAGCTTGATCAGAACAGTGATGATGATGAAGATGAAACCAATGGTGGATATGGTGTTTTTAGTGCTCTTGAGGTGCAAAAGATGCACGATCCTTACAAGCGCCATGGTAATGGTGCAAAAATGGCGAAACCAATTTGAGCAACAATATGATGATTCATTTATTAGCTGTATAATCAGTTGAAATTGTAGCTGGTCTGTATGAAATACAATTGTAATTTGTGGGGCATAAACCTGTTTTCTGGAATGGTGGGTTTGAACATCTAAAGCTGAAGTTGAACTATTCACGAAAGATTTTCTAAACTGTATATTGATTGAAATTAATTTCACCCGTCGATTCAGATCAATCAAACAAATATTAGTATGTGTGGATGTTTAATTTTGTCTTGAGATGCCTTTGGACGTTAGATGTTTGATCCATAAGAATTAGTGGCTTAAAATTAAATTATTTTTAAATTTTCAAATCAATTTCTTATTCATTGCCATCTCAATTTTATACTAATTATTAGTTAATTGTTTAATTTCTATACCAACTTTAGAGGCTTAATTTAAAGTTAACTTGTCTAACAAATGGACCAATCCAGAGACCAGTTAGAGCATCACTTTTTGGGCTATATACAAGTAGATGGGCTTTACGGCCATGACTAAGCTAGGAATGGATACTACTTCAATCTCGGACACAACGGGGTGTGTGGTGTCAACTTTACTTCTTCTTTTTTCCCCTTTATTTGGGGTTTTTTTTTTTCTTTTGGGTGGGGGGGGGGGGGGTAGCCTTTTTACTTGAAACTGCAATTTTTCCTTTTTTTTTTTACTGCACAATTTTTTGCATATAAATTATATTATTTATAAATTATAAATAATATGATTTTTATATTATATATTGATTAAATGTTTTTTATTTTGAATTGTTTATTATGGAAAAATTGATATAAAATATGTGGTTTTAAATTATGCATGTGCATACAGCTAGTTTTGTTAATTTTAAATAAAAGTGTACACTTTGGCCAGAAAAAAAAATTACACCAAAATATAAAATAGGCAGGCTCTCTCTGTTTTTTTTTTAACAAATAAGGCTATCTTTCAATTTACTAAGTTTGAGTAGGCTGCATGCATTTTTAAAGGAAATGAAGAATGGAAAACAAATGTAAGCAGTGAAAAAGGAGAGGGAAAAAAGGATTAATGTACAAACATGTTCCTGAAAATTTCTTACCAATGCAATCGATATCTTAAAATATTTTTTAATATAATGTCATCTTAACGTTTTTCAAAACAATATAATTTTACTTTATATTAACAGGTCCAAACTATCCCACATAATCATGGTGGGTTTGAATCATTTTGTTGTTAAATGATTTATATATACTATAAGTGATCTCTTTGAGAGCTTCTTCTTTTTGTGGTGAACCACACACACATATGTGATAGATCAATTAATTAATAGATAAAAAGATAAGTTGAAAAACGATGGTTTATCTTTATTTAGTTGCGTGACTGGTGAGAGTCTTATCCACAAAATATTTATTTATACGTAAATTTTATAGCTATGTCTCTTGAAAAAGCTAGAGAAGACGCAAATGTCTTTTATGAATGTAGGATTTGTGTTCCTAAAAACAAAAGACAAAAAGAGAGTGTGTGGTAAGATGGCTACAAGTTTCTGCTAGGTGGGGTTTAACGAAGGATGGAGAATCCATGTCTGGGCAGTTCTCTAATCCAAATCCTTTAGGTGTACTTTAATCTTTGTCACTTCATCTTTAATTTCCAACATTCTCATCTTTCAAAACTTGGTGTCCCTTTAACTTAGACTTCTTAAAGTTTTGTCAAATCAAATTTGATTCAACCACTGATCCTTCCCCACTTGACAAATACTACGAGATGGAGATTCTGATGTTTGACTTGTGGACAACGTACAATGATCCTCACATTCATTATTTATTTATTCATTTATATTTGAGTTAACTGTACACCCACCAGATTCAATTGCCTTTTTTCAGTAATACCAGCACATGTTCCAGTTCGTTCACCATACGTATACTATCTAACACGGAAAATCTTCATGATTTTTTAACCATGCTTCAAGCAATAGTACTGTATTTGTACCCCATGCTCAACTTTGACAATTAGTTCAAGAATATTCTAAAATTCTTTTTTATCATAAAATCAATGCAGTATCTTACAAAATTTGGTGTTCAAATTTTTAAAAGATTCATGCTCCACTTTTTAAAAATCTCATTTGTTGCAAATGGGAAAACCACCACCCCAAACCAAGGGAAAAAAACAAATTGGCGATGAGGAGTGGAAGACACCATGTTTTATTAACTCAAAATATAAAAACTCAAGTTTATAAATTCTTTTATCTTATTATGTATGCCATTTATTAAACTTAATTTTATTAATATGGGAGTTTTTACATTCGCTTTAAGGCTACTTATACTTAAACATCATTACAACATTATTCTTTATTCAAAACAGTTTTACACATTTTCCCATACATACATACATACATACATACATACATACATACATACATACATACATATATATATATATATATATATATCAAATGGCCTCTCCTGTTTGGGCCCAAAAATTGGCCTGTTATGCCCTTTCCATTAAATAGATGTTGCAATTTGTGAATTGTTGGATTAAATTTAATAATTAAGATTTGATAGTTCTTAAAAATATAAATTAATTAGTATCACTAAAACTTGATATAAAACGGTTCAATATTGTTGTAGAAAAAACTCAATGAAAAGAAATAAAATTCAACCTTTTAACAATACATTCAGGATTTAATTTGAATATGTTAACCTCAAATATATATGTAAATTAAACAGGAAAACCATTTTCATACCTTCTAAGTAATACTCAAATTAGTTTATTTATGGGCTAAATTAATTAATAATGAAATTAGCTGAGTGATAAAATTAAACTTGGGAAGCAATTCATGGTATTATTTGCTCATGATTGAGGATACATACTTTTACGACCCCATTACTCTAAGTTTAATATAATTTCTTGAGGATGTGTTGTGGTGCATGGAAAGCATATATATGCCAAAGTTACAAGGCTTGACAGCGAAACAGGTGCAGGTAGTTTTACGGAAATCTATTGCACTTTATTCTTCTTCCCAAAAAGAGAAAAACAGTTAGTGTCCTCTCAAAGCTTCATTGATTATAAAGTGATGAGAGCCTCTTCTCTCAGACACTGCCAAATAAGCCCCAATACCCTTTTTCCTACCAAAGGCATATAAATAAATATATCTCATTGGCACATTGTTTACTAAGTTTGAGGAAGTTTTTTTTTTGACTTAGATAGCAAGATAAATCAAATACGTGCCCACCACCTTTGCTTATTCCTCAAAGCACCCAACTACAACACTTAATTGTCACCAGAGAGAGAGAAAGAGAGACTCTAATCTCTTTCTGCTATATTTTTCACTGTTCAATGCTATGCTTCTCCAACAAGAATGATCCTATTGGACATGGGGTTGGCCTCACACTCTAACTGACCTCAATCATTCTTCTCTTCCTTCCCCTACTTAATCTTTACCTCACAATGCATATGCATGCCTGTGTATGTGACAAGAACCAGCAAATCTAGTAACTTTCTCTTCTCTCTCTGAGCGCATAGGCTGGAAAAAATGGTGCTTGCTTCTTCCCCTAGTAAAATACTAATTGGTCTGTCGTTAGACCGTGATGATAGCAGAGAACTTCTCTCATGGGCTGTTAGAGTTCTAGCCAATCCGAATGACACCATTGTCGCACTCCATGTACTTGGTTCGCCATTTATCTTTTTCTGTGTAAACTTCATTTTATTCAGAGTCTGTTGTGCCTGCATTGTCATGTACTCGATTTCATTTGAGTTTTTAATTATTACAATGGCTGTGATTTTTAGGTTTTAGTGCTCAGCTTGTCTCTTGAATTACAGTTTCTAAGGATAAGAAGAAAAGGAAGAAGAAGCGTGCTTCAATGACAAGAAGGCAGTCACAACTTCGGCAGGCTAAAGCCTGTGTCATATCTGTGCTTGGTGAATTTGCAAAGGCTTGTTGGTCTAAGCAGGTAATCTTCTTCCTTGTTCATGTACATTAAAATATGATCTTGTAGGTAATGATTCTGATGAAGACAATATTCCCAGGTGAATCTGGAAGCCAAAGTGGCATTCAGTTCCAATGTAGGTGAAGGTTTAGTTGAAGAAGCCAAGTCCATATCTGCTGAATTTCTTCTTCTTCGTGGTTCTAGAAACCAGTCTAGCAAGTAACAACAGAACATAGAAACTTCTCCATTGTGTTTTGCATACATGACAAACCCTTTTTTTTTTTTAACTGTATTGGTCATTTTTCTTAGGAATCAGGCATGTAATGGAATTACCAAGTATTGCTTTCAGAATGTCCACGAAAGCTGCACCATTGTCTCTGTTGGGAAAAGCTCAAAAGCCAGTTTTACAAGCCCCGAAGGTAATTCAATTCTCTGGACTAAGAAAAAACAGAACTTTCAACACTGGAAAATAAATCCCTTGTGTTCTTATGATTAGCAGATAATTATGAATCAAGCTCAGGGTGGTTTAAGGAGGATAAACAAAGTGACAGACGAGAATCCCCTGTTTTGAATGCTTTTATCTCAGACTCTAGGACTCAAACACGTTCACCAAGAACAGTATTGGACGCATTTGAGGGTCAATCTAACAGCACAGAAGATGACACCTTCAGTACAAGGGTCTCAAGCATCACGGACACTCCATCAATGGCTTCGAAAATGAAAAGCAAATCCAATTTTAGGAAACCACAGTCCCCATTCAGACTCATAGCCTCACTGCTTGCCTCACCATTAAGAAGGAAAAACTCCAAAAAGTCCCAAAATGAAAAGAGACAACCTTTGTTAAAATGCTTCAGCTATGAGGAGATCTCCACCGCCACAAATGGCTTCCATCAAGGTAAAATAGAGCCTTCAAACATCTAATTAAGGGCTGAATAGTAAATTTACTCTTAAACTACAAACTATAAGTCCAGGAGCATAGAGACCCAAAATAATTTTTTAGTATAATATTTTCCTTTAACATTTCAAAATGGTATAATATTGCCCTCACTAGTAACAAATATTAATTTTAAATGTTGGCTAACAAAAAATTACAAAAAAAATTAAGAAAATTACATAAAAGGATAAAAATTTTACAAAAAAAGACCCTATAAGAAATCGAATAATTTTTCTATAGTCTTCATGGTCATTTTTTTAAATTTTTGAGGTCGTTTTCCAAATTTTCTTTTGTAATTTTTCTATAATTTTTTAGTTAATTAATAGTTAAAGTTAACATTTGTTAACGCCAAAGGTGTCAATGGAGATTAGGTCTAACAGAAAAGATTGATTCTTAACAACTTCATGAATTAAAATTTAAATTTTCATTGAAAGAGGTACCCACATTTAGTACCTGAATTGTATTGAATAAGATTTTCTCCAATAGGAGGATACCTATGAATAATAAGAAAAACATTTATTAATGATAAAGACAACATTATACTAATTTGAAATATTAAAAGGGACTTATTGTATTAAAAACAAGTTTAGGGTTCTAGATATTTCTGGACTTGTATGTCATCATAGAGTAACATTTTGAGTTTGAAGTGCTTATGCATGTTTTGTTGCTGCAAACATCAGATAATTTGGTGGGACGTGGTGGATACTCTGAAGTATACAGAGGAGATCTTTCTGATGGACAAAGCATTGCAGTGAAAAGGTTGTCTAAGGACAAAAAGGACGCGAACAAGGAAAAGGAGTTCCTCATGGAATTAGGAGTGATTGGACATGTCTGTCATCCTAATACTACATCTTTAGTCGGATGCTGCATTGAAAATGGACTCTACCTGGTTTTCAAGTACTCTCAAAATGGAAACTTAGCCACTGCATTGCATGGTAAAAAAAAAAAAAAAAATTGGTCTCAAGTTATTTTCTCAGGGGACAGATTTTTTAAGTATAAACTGGTTAGAAAAGTGACTTGAAAATAAGATAAAGAAATTTTGTGTTTAATGTCGATGAATCAGGTAAATCAGGAACGTCACTTGACTGGGCAGTGAGATACAAAGTTGCCATTGGAGTAGCGAGGGGACTGCATTATCTTCACAAGTGCTGCAAACGCAGAATAATACATCGCGACATTAAAGCCTCCAACGTGCTTCTGGGTCCAGATTATGAACCACAGGTATTAGAACCACAACAACAAAAATCAAAACTTTTGGCGTTAGAAGAAAGACAATGCTGTGAACAAAACCCATTTAACTTGTTCTGTGAATTCCTCTGGTAGATTACTGATTTTGGGCTGGCAAAGTGGCTTCCGAACAAATGGACTCACCACGCTGTAATACCAGTGGAAGGCACGTTCGGGTACTTGGCACCAGAGTCCTTCATGCATGGAATAGTGGATGAGAAAACTGATGTTTTTGCTTTTGGGATTCTTCTTCTGGAGATTGTAACTGGAAGAAGACCTGTTGATTCCAAGAAACAGAACCTTCTCCTTTGGGTAACTTGTTTTTTTATTCAGTAACTTTATTTTCATGAACTGATATTGAGCGTCAGTACTAATCTTGATGTCCACAAAACAGGCAAAGCCTCTGATGGAATCAGGGAACATCAGGGAGCTAGCTGATCCGAGAATGGAAGGAGCATATGATGAAGAGGAATTGAACAGAGTAGTGCTCACAGCTTCATACTGTGTGAGACAATCTCCCCTTTGGCGTCCCCAAATGAGCGAGGTAAAAGCTTGATAACTAACATAAAATAAAGAGAAAGGAATCATGAACTTGAGATTTGAAGTTTTAAGTTAAAATGCGGTGCCTTTCTCATTCCTCGTATATAGTAATTAATCACCGTTAGTTCACTTGAAGGCGGTTAATTCTTTGATTAAAAAATATGATTTGATCTTGGTGGAAGGTATTGGAACTGCTGAGCAGTGGGGAAGATAGTGAGGCTGGGAAGAGCTGGAGGATCCCAAAGTTGACAACATCTGAATCTGATGAACTGGATGATTACTCGATGGCTTTCGGATATGAAGTGCCTTCTGACATATATCTGGAGGAGTTTTTGTGAGAGTGAGAACTAGTTTCAGAGTTTAACATGGCAAGTCTTGGACAAGAGTCTAAAATGGAGATGATGATGAGAGGGTTTTTATGTTTTGGTGAATGTAGAGGCAGAGAGATCAGAGGTTCTCAGCAGAAGAAAGGTTTTGCTTTTGGGATGTTTTGTTAGCGTCATAAACACTCGTCTAGTAAACATGGAGACACTATTTTGCTGCTAGTTATGATTAAAAAAAATAAACCATTAATAATTTAATCAATATAGTTCCTTTTTTTTTTTTGGCCAAATAACTTTCCATAGTTCAAAGCATCGAAAAGGACAAAAATGCGAGGTTGATGAGGGTATTTGTGGAAAATGGTGGGTTCCGATTTCCAGCATATGTGGGAGATACCATTACTCACATTTTCTGGAAGGAATACTCACTCCTTCAAATCAAGGAATCATGCATTTTAATGAAATGGGGATGAAAAGCAAAATGGAGGGTGAGAAGATTCCTAACTGAACCAAAACAGTCTGGTAAATGGTTTTTAAAAAAAAAATTGACAACATTTTTTTCAAGATTCATAAGAACTTCAAATGGACGTAGGAGAGTGAAATAAATTCTCAGTATTTTAATTTTATCACAATACATGATAAAACGATAAGAAGATCTACAACAAGTGAATAACAATAACAACCATCATTATCCAAGCGAGAGTAGTACCTAACAATTCAAGAAAATGTAAAGAACAAAGACAAGGTAACTCCATCATCGTACATTTATGGGGGTCCTGCCCCTAAATCAGAGTCTATAAAAGAAAAGGAAAACGATATGAACATGAGAAACGAGTTCTTAGTGGTAGTGTGGTCCAAACACGCCACAGGTCACAGGTTTGAGTGGGCGGCTGCGACGCGACGAAATCTAATAACAATAGGGGAAAGGGAATATCACAAAGGATCAAAGCCAGTAATTTTCGTGGTGGCTTGTTCAAACCATATTTTAAGATATCTGAACATATAAAAAAAACTACATAACTAAATTTAATTCTAACAACTTTGTCTTTCAAACATGTTTTTATTCAATAAAATATAGATGACGTGATGTATTAAATACGTATAAAAAAATTCATTTAAGATTGGCTAATTGTTGATACCCATGTAGGCCAATAACTCATCTATATATATACTAATTATATGCTAATTATATATATATATTGTGGTTAGGTGGTTGTCATTTTATTAAGCCTGATAACAATTAAGGCTAAACCTATTGGTGAGCTCAAAATTATGGCCTAACCGCTATAGTATAACCATAATTAGTCATTGCCTTAGGTACGGTTATGAGAACCGTAACCATGGCATCTAAATTCTAATGTCTTAACTACGGTTTTTTTTTTTTTTGATGAATTAATTTGGTTTCTTCTTTCTCATTGTTTAAGTTAGTGTCACTGTAACATGCTTTTTTAGTCATGCAATAATGCATCTCTACCAAAAAAAATTAAATAAATAAATTTATGAATTCTCTGGTCTCCATATGCGGGAGGTTGCTGGTTTCTGCCAAAGATTGGGTATAAGTAAATGTGGGGGAGTGTTTTTTTTTTTTTAGCTCACAAGAATTTTCTTATTAAATACAATCTTATTTCCAGTAAAATTGAGTATTAATATGGACACCTCTTTTAGTAGATATTAAACTCTAATTTAATGTAAGCCTATTTACTAAAGAGGTTAGTCTCTCATAATACAGTCTACATTATGTGGGGGTGTTTGTGAACTTGTCATGTGCAAAAATAAAAGGTGGTGATGCAATTCAACAAATTTTTTCTTAGAAATTCTATGACTCCTTTTTAAGAATTTATCAATATAATATTTTTTTTACTTTGTCCAAAAAATAATAATATTTTCTTTTTTTCCCAAAAGAATTAATAGTTTCAAGAAATTGAAAATATGAGATTTTTTCTTTTTTTTTTTGGTAAACATAGTCTGCATTTGCATAATTAGGCCACAAAATTGAGCAGTCGATAGACTTGGCCCAAATGTTGTAGAGCCGAGCCTAGGAAATTTATCAAAATATTGATAAAATTTCTATGACAAAATTTCAAAGGGCTAGAAATCAAAATAAATTTCTGTAAATAACTAAATATCATAGAATCAATAAAATAATTAATGAAGAATATAAAACAACAGTGTTGAGCTCACTTGAGAGCTAATTAATTACCCTCAAATAGACTAATAATCAAGCCAATTTGATTCAAGATATTTTACTTTTCAATTTCATGTACGACAAATAGGTTCAAAGTTAAACTTCAACAAAAAACCAAGGTACAAACTTTTATGAGTATCAACCAAGCAATTCAGATAATTTTGATTCATGTAATTCAGTAAGCCTGGAATTAAACAATATTATTCATACACACACACATCTGTTCACTATTTTTTCTTTTTTTTTTTTTTTTTGCTAAAAAAACAAAACTATCTCTAGTAATGACTAGGTGGGAAGAATTTTCTTGTTATTGGGATTATAGCATTTTTTAAGGGAGTCTTTTTTTTTTCTGGTCAAGCATTTTTAAAGGGAGTTGAATTATTGCTTCGATTAAAAAGATTAAAGTAATAAAAAAATATGTAAATATTTTCTTAAAACTGAAAAAATATGAGACATAATTACTAATGATTTACTAGATTGTAGCAAATAAAGTTACGGTTTTCTTCACTTTTGGGCTCCTCATTATTCTGTAATGATGTATTATAGCGCAGTTATAGGGATATGTCCATCTACAATTTTTTTTTTTTCAGTTTTTTAAATATAAAGAACAAGCTCCGTTGACAGCAAATGCCAAATAATCTTTTTCCCAAAATATTGAAAGTAATGGATAGACCTTTCCTTTCCAACAAGAGCAAGACCTTATGTTAAAGGGTGTAAATTAATTTTAAAAAAATAATTTAATATTTTTTTTAAAATAATTATACATTTTATAATTGTCTCCTTCTTATTGTCAAATGTTATTAAAAATATTTACTTTCATATAAGTCACTAATTTATGATATTATTTGTATATAAAAATATGTAATAATTAACTAGATATTTAAAAAAATTAAATAAATAAGAATATTATTTTCTAAATATCATATTAGAGTTTTGAACTTAATAAATTCATAATTGAACTTGAGTCAAAACATTCACAAAAAAAGATCTAGATTTCAAGAGGTTTAAAATTTTGTGACTAAAAAAGATAAAATAATAAAATATTTACTTTTTATTTATAATTTTCTCTGAGTGAAGGGGGTGCATATGCTCCTCCTTAAGTATGTGTGGCTCTGTCGCTGCTTCCCAACTAAACTGTTGCATATACGGGTTTTGAAATTCAAATCATTAATCACTTGCTAAATTTGATGAAAATGTCTATCTCTTGTTTCAATTTCGGTTAATTTTTTATTTCTTTTGTAGCATGACGCTACTTCAACACGGAGAAACGTAAGGCAAAAATCAGGAGATAGGAATTGACGAGTACGAGGTGGAAGGGGAGATGTGGGGTTTGACCAAGGGAGGGAGCATGAGTGGAATGATATGGCTTGGGTGCTCATATTCTTTATAATAAGCACCAATTGAATCATTTAGATCAAATTTAAACTCTCTATATTTAATATTATTTTTTTATATTTTTAATAAAAATTAAGATAATTCTTAGTCATTAGATAGAATCACTCCTAAAATCCCAGGATGGTAAAAATCACACAAAAGACTCAATACAGTTGAATTGTTTTTGCAAGCCTAAATGTCTCAAATGTAAATATATTATTTCGTGGCAAGACACATTTGTCTTTAACCGCACAACTTATGTATAACAAACAAATATTTTTTTATTGATGTATTGACCTTGTCATATTATTTGCAAACATTGTGTTGTATATATAATTAAAAAACTTATATATTATTATTCAACTTAACTACAAAAACTATATATAATAAGTGAACATTGTGTAGTTCATGTATGAATCTTGAGATTTTTTAAAAGACATATTATACATATCTAAAAAACATTTACATTATTGTTCAATTTAATTAAATGGACTATATATAATAAATGAACATTATGTTATTTATATATAGACTTTGTCATATTTTTTATGAAAATTATATTGTATATACACATGAGAAACTTATATATTTGAGGCACTTGGGCCTACAAAAACAACTTAAAATATATTGGCCTTTAGGTAAAAAAAATTTTCTATTTTAAGGACCTTGGGCGCGATTCTTCCTATTTATTATCGTGTAAAATTAGTGTCATTAGGAACTTACTGTGATTATCTTATTTCAAGAAATTAAATGATTGTTTTTTCTATTAAAATAATACAGTTGAGATGTAATGGTAAGAATGAGTGTCAGGGTGAGCGGGCTGGAGCTGAGTGGAAGGACCACATTGATTAGAGAGCGATGGTGGAATTGCGGGACACATGGAGCCCACACCAAATGGTTTGGGCCGCTTGGCCACGTGAACTCCCTATGGGCTCTGGACCCCACTTGATTGCCACCTCTTGGGGCCCCACCACACCTTTTCTTCTTCATGAGCCCATCATTCCACACGCCTTCTGACACTCTAACCCCACTGCCTCCCCCTTCCTTCTACCCAGACAACATGATTCTCAACTCGGTCTCCGCTTCTTCATTCAATCATCACCGCCTATCTTTCTGTCCACCTACACATGGGTCCCACATCTCAAAATTCACACTTCCAAACGTCTTCCATACTCGATGGGCAAAAAAAAAAAAAACAGAGAGACAGACATCTTCTATACTTAGTTTTGAATTATCTTCGCACTAACATAAAATCATGAAAGAACATAAATAAGGGAGAATACAATTTTTAGTTTTTAAATTTAACTTTTCCAATTATTGATTTTGTTACTAAGCTTTGTTTCAGTACAATAACACAGTTTTATAATTTATTGAGTTATAGAATTATAGGGGCTGATTTTAATTGGGTTAGAAAAAACTCAATAATGTTGGATATTGGAAACATGTATACACATCGTCACATAAAATTCAGCAAAATGATTTTTTTTTTTTTGTGGGAGCACTTGCCTCTTCTGTCTACAATGTAGGTACGTCCTTGGGCATATGTAAGAATTGAATTGTTATGTACAAAATCGAAGGCCATGAGCGTGAAACACATGTGGAAAGTGAAGTGAGATCAGTTGGACGCAGGTGGTATACGACAATGACACCTTAATGAAACCTTAATTGAAGATTAGGAATTTGGATGGCTGAAGTGGTCC